TGATTTAGGATGAATTTTAAATAAGATGCATGAAGATGCCAAAACAATAGACGTCTACAGCACGATTAGACACTAGGGGTTGTAACAACTAGTCGACTAGTCTACCTCACTGCTCTCTAGTGACTTTTTATGCTTTCATAGACTAGTCGCTGCCACGTGATAATGAGCGACAAGATGCAGTCCTCTGAAAAGACAGCAGGTGACGAGCCCCTGCGCGTTGGGAGGCGACGCGCTGTGCCAGAGCGTCGTTATCTGACGCCCGCCGTAAAACGGACATTTGACCAAATTGTGACCTTTACCCTCTTGCAGTTTAACCTTCCCCTCACCCCCATCCTAACCTTAACCAGCTTGCGCATACAAAGCTCTGATCGTTGACGTACTCCAGACATCTGCATCCTGAGCACGGCCAAAGTAACATTATCAAATCAGGTGTCGCCACCTCAGAAACAAATTTAACACGCGATCGTTCATGTCGGCTCATTTCCTTTTATGTTTTCTGTCTTTTATTTGTGCCTGATGCGTTTCGCTGCTTCGGAGTGGGGCGCATCACCTGTTTAGTCCTCCGCTGACGCCAAGGGAGTAGGAACGAGTTTAATATTGGGGGGACACATTTTGGAAATCTAACAAATCTGTTGTAGGACAATATATAGGTCAACTTCACAGAAAAAATACATTTAATGATTATTTCTGATTCTAACGTGTCACTGAGTGTTTCATGCAGGCTGAACATGAACATAGTCTCCTACCGCTATCTCCTGCAGTAGCTTCTGATAGAAAATCTGATAGACGGTGAAACTCTAGGATTAGAAAAGTCTGACAGATGTGACTCAGGGCGTAAGGCAAAGCCCAGAAAAACAAGAAAATAACTTTTATAGCCCAGTTCACTAACATTCTGGGGTTTTTTTGATCGGGGACCCATGAGCCAGCCAGAAGGGGAGGAGACTTAGGCTCCCCATTAGCCAGATCCAGGTGATTACCGGCCAACGTGGATGTTTTAATTATAAAAAAGCTGTTTATGTGTCAGTACTGTTTTATTTTTATTTAATAGTATGAATATAGGATATATTATCTTATTCATATGGGTAGAGATGTGTAGACAGATTTAATACAAGACTAAAGCTGTGAATATTCAGTCTGAATTGATCTGACTCTGATCAGAATATTTTAAACTACATCAGCCAACAATGCTGACCAACAATCAGAAAAATCTGTTTGCTTCTGACAGAATGAAAAAAGAAATAATTCACTCACAACAACAGCTGGAACTACATTCATTTTCAGACGGACAAAAGAAAAAACAGTGGCCAAAATTGCAGTCTAACTGCACCAGAAAGCAGAGTTTAACACTTATTTTTCTAATATTTCTAAGGAAGCGTGTACAGAATGTAATTTATTCTTAAACCGTACTGCCCAGCCCTACTTGTTGGGATTAAATACATTCAACTGTGTTCACTTATTATCACATCCAAATCTTCCTCTCATCAGCAACCTAAAATCATCTCATTCTTCACTGTAGCACCTCGGCAGGTCTGGCTCTCCCTGTCTCACCCTCAACTGGTTCCTGCTGAACTTCATCTGATCTCTAATATAAAAACAGTGGACATGAATAAGGAGTAAAATACTGTTGGACGACTAGTGCAACATTAAAATCATGGTTGTTATAGTATTATTTAGTCGCGTTCACTTGTTATCATGCTCGAATCTTCCTCTCATCATCAACCATCTAAAATCTCACTCCACTGTAGCACCTACCTGCACCTCAGCAGGTCTGGTGCTGCCTGTCTCACCCTCAGCAGGTCTGGTGCTGCCTGTCTCACCCTCAGCAGGTCTGGCGCTGCCTGTCTCACCCTCAGCAGGTCTGGCGCTGCCTGTCTCACCCTCAGCAGGTCTGGCGCTGCCTGTCTCACCCTCTGCAGGTCTGGTGCTGCCTGTCTCACCTTCTTCATCATTTTCCTGCTGAACTTCCTCTGGTCTCTTATATGAAAAGTGACATGAATAAGGTTTAAAAATGAAATGTGATGAGAATGTAACAAATAAGCAACAATCACACTTACAAACTCCATTTTTATGTGGAGATTCAACTTTTTTATTTATTTCGTGTCAAATGGTTTTTGTCTGTTACTGTAAAATTCGCCATTTTTTGTTGACTAGTAGTGTTGTTTAATGTTTAATGCTAACTAGCAAGATGTTTACGCTAGTCAGCCATTTTAGCGTTTGACCAGAAATACAATTATACTCTTGGACTAAATTATTACCAACTCACAATTCCTTTCTTTCTTTTTTTGCCCATGAGAAGAACTCGCTGAGCTGCTGCCGTCTGCCTCTGACTGACACCTGTGTCTGCCCCGGCTCTGCTTCTCTCAGCCAGGCAGCCTGTCTAACTCCCTGAGGGGAGGGGCTGTGTTGGAGAGAAGTCCGCAGTGTCTTTCAAAATAAAAGCTCGCGAGTCAAATATTTCAAAATCAATCTTTTTCTTCTCCATGTTATTGGGGGGGGGGGGGGGGGGGGGGACAAATGCGCGTTTGTCCAATATTGGAGGGGACACGTCCCACCCGTCCCCCCCGGTTCCTACGCCCTTGGCTGACGCACCTCATCGGTGCGGCCGGCACGCACTCCGCTGTTTTAGCGGTCGGTAGATCTTTTAGAACTGCAGTTCAAAGGTAACTCATAAGGTGAATATATGACAGGTGTGTGACGTCATCAACGACTAGTCGAAGTCGACTCGATTTTCATTACTTGACGGTCGACTTTAAAAAAATTAAGTCATGCAGCCCACTAGCCACTGATTTATACAGATTCCGGCTCTTGGTGAGTTCAGACGCTTTTTTCCTCCTCTCCTCCCTATCATATCCCAAGGGTCTTTGTCTGTCTTTGGGTGTACGGCGCTTCTTTTTATTTTTATTTTTTCTGGAAACTGGAAATTATTAAAAAATGGATCTGGTCAGTTGGCCTCTCAGCACGATTGACAAGATTTTTTCAATGATGAGAACGGAAGAAGGGGCTCCCGGTTGCCCCTCTGGGTCAGATCCAGTTGGGCATATCATGGACTCCTGGAAACAGTGGAACCTGATCTGTCTCTCAACTGTCTGTAGAGGATTCTGAAGACGTCTGGATATTCATGGTGTTGGTGTCAGGTTTCTTGCTGTTTGGCCTGAGCAGTTGCCTGCCTTACTGGAAAATTAATGAGCTTTCGAGGAATATTGGCTCAATCCCAGAGCTCAGGGATTGATTACACTGCGCTGTGAACGCACAAACTCATATAATTGTCGAGATGAGTCGTAAGCTTTAGCTGAGATTCAGACTCTGGCACAGAAGGTGGATTCGATCAAAGACAGAGTTTACGGGACAGCACGGTTGGGATAGATTAATTTACGCCATTATTGGATTCAGAGGGGTTGAGACCAACAGAACTTTAAGACAGAGAGGAAATTATCTCTGTCTGGCCCCAAAACAAGTTCTTATCTGAATCTGGTGCCCTTGAGCCTGTGAGGCTGAAGTGATTACTCCCCCTCAGAAGAAATGTGGAATGCTGCCGTCGCCATGGCAACTCTGTCTCCCTATCCCAGCCTGGGCGGGACTGTGACCGGTGAAGGCCGTTGAATCGTTTCCAGGAGTCACTGTGCTTTCTAACCCAACTACCTCCCTCCCCTGTCCAGACGGAGGTGACGAGCGCTGCTTATTGCGGCTGCAGGCACTGACGTGTGGAGAGTCCCCAACCCTACCACCCCACCTAGTGGACATTTATGTTGAGTGATGTCTGAAGTCTGTTGCATTTCTGTCTGAGGTGTTTGTTGCATAGCAAAGCTGCCCTCCCTATGGAGGGTAACTCTAAAGTGTCTTTTTTTCCTCCACCTGAACCAATCCTCATATATTAAACCTCTGATCTGTATTAAGGTAGCGCGACTCGGATTGCGAATGACCACAGTCACCAATTCTTGTCATGTGTCTATGTCTATGTATGTATGTATGTCTGATCTCAGAATTGTGTGTACTGAAACTCTAATTTCCCTCTGGGATTAATAAAGTATCTTTGAATTGAATTATCAGCACAAAGAGATGATTTAGGTGTTTCTCACTCAATGATCCCTCCTCTAACTTTTCATCTGATTTTACACCATTCATGATATTGATGACCTATTAGTGTTTCTGTTGGGGCTCCATGTTGGCATGTATTAGCTGTAATCTGAGATTAATTAGTGATTCTGAACAGTGGCTATGGTTTCAGGCATTATTTTATGTAGTCTTTACCCTCAGTTGTTTTACTGCCTCACAGTAAAAGTCCCTTTTAACCTCAACCACCCCATTGATGAAGCAGTTTCATGGAGCCGTTTCAATAACAACAAAGCTAAATGAGTCTCAGTACCATTCACTGCTACTGGCTCGGCAGGTTCGAGTGACAGGTTTGTTTTCCGTTTCCTTAACCCTCTCAAGCATAAAAGGACGAACAACCAAGTCCTTCAGGGGCCCTTCTGAGTTAAAAATGCTCATGAAATACGTATGTAGAGTAAACAGGTAGGGGTTAACGTTGCAAATCTGCCACGCCTGCCTCCAGAGGGCTAAGATAAACTAAAATAGTTTAGATATGCTCAAACTCGATCTGATAGGAACCCTCAGACAGAAAAACCTGACAAAACAGCAGGAGGCACCCAGAAAACAGAAAAGCACCGAGACGAGAGAAGAAAAATCGATAAGGTGCAGTCACGAGTTCAGCTGAAGTGGAAATTTGTCAGAGTGGATTTATGGTAACTCCTTTGCATGAGGTGTTTATCCTGCAGGCACAAATTAAAACACAGTTCACATTCAGCTGGAATATAAACAACCGATGTGGGCCAAAAACCGAGAGTTTAGCCTCTGCACGGCTGATTCAACAACTCAGAAGCTTTGCAATTTTGTGTATTTGTCTGACTTTCTGACCTTCGTGAAGGTCTATTCATTTCTGCACGTCTTGTATCAGTAAAGAAAATTCCACCAAGTCCCAACAAATAAAAGCAAAAACAAGATTCGGACTCCTCAGGAGGATTTTCTTTTAATTGTTAGAACATTCAAAATGGAAGAAAACGTTTCCACAATCCGTCACGGACCAAAACAAGGAGAATTTTCTAAAAGCAAAGATAAAGATGGAATTAAAGAGTTTATTACAAGCTTGAGCGCTAGGAGGAGGTTGAAGGTGAGACAAACAGATCTGAAGCATCTAAAGTCATGAAAAAAACATGGATGTTCAGCAAGGCTTGTGAGCATGCTCCTTCAGCAGGAGGATAAATCTGGACACGTGTGCATGTTCTTGCTCCTTAGGTCCATAAACTTCACCCCGTCCCATTTTCTGACCAGTCGGAACTGGTTACTTGCGGCATTCAGGGACTGAGCTACATGAATGCACGGGACTGTTCTACTCATGTCCATCTGCATGCGTGTGCATGATTACTTTTTGCGATAGTCGTCTGCGTAAGCTCTGTGGTCATCCTGCTCGGGGTAGCGGTCTCCGTACAGCCTGAGGATGTCCTGGAGGCTAGGCATACCCTGAGAGTGAGGCTGGTATGGCATGTGAGGCTCCTCCTGACCGCTCTGGTAGGGCTCCTGTTCCTGCTGCTCGCTCTCTCTGGCACCCTGGTTGTTGTCCTCCTCGATGTGATGCTCGGGCCAGGTCTCTGAGTGGGCCTGCTCCACCTCTTGGCGACGCAGTCTGCAGTCGGGATCGCGCTCTGGGTCACAGTCGGGGTTGGCAGGTTCCAGGACACCATTGCGGGTACCGTCAGCGTTCAGGTGAGGCTCGTAGGCCTCAGCAGGGTAGGGGATACGGCGGTGTGCTCCAGAGCGAGGTTGGCTGGGTCTCACTGGGTAGCATTCGCGATCATAACCAATGAAGCAATCATAGCCCTCTTTGGTTTTACCTGGAGGACCCAGAGGGTGGTGCTCATCCTGGGATGGCTCCTCATAACTTGGACGGGAAAGCGGGTGCTGGTGCCTGGATGTGGGAGGGCTTTGACGATTCATGGAATTACGGACAGCAGAGAAAGGATCATTAGGATTAGTCTCGGGAGCGGCCATACGTGGAGCATACGGGTCGTTATTGTGAGCTTGGGCCATGTACTGGCGCAGAATGGTGTATGGGTCGACAGATGGAAGAGGTGCTGGGGTTGGAGGCTGACGGTACATGGCGTAAGGATCAGGGACTCTGTTAGCATTAGCATAAGCATCCCTAAACATGGCGTAGGGGTCATTCTGTTCAGCGGCAGGAGGCGCGGCACGAATAGCAGCGGCATCATCTCTTTCATCACTTCGGTACTCTTCTGGGGGCGAGGAGTACCTGGTGGCAGTCAGGGGGTTGCAATTATCTTCAAAGAGAGGGTTGCAGGAACCGGGACCAGCAGGGGCAGGGGGGTTGGGAGCGCGGGGAGCCTGGAGGGACAAATCACAGTAAGTGGAGATAATGAGAAAAGAAAATGAAGAGCAGGGGAGATGGAGCAGCGGATAATTTCATCAACATGGCAAATAAAACGTACCGCGAGGGAAGCAGCATAGGCACAGTAGGGATCACGGTATGGATCACAGTTGGGATACTGCGAGTAGAGACCAGAAGGAGCCTTTTGCACCAGTTTGGGTTTGCAGGAGGGGTCCTTCTTGGGGTCACAGCCCAGGTGGGCGTATGAGGGGAGGGAAGCAGCAGAGGGGTGATAGCCATAGGCAGCTCTGAGATGATACTGCAGACAATCCACATCATCGGAGGAGCAGATACGAAGCAGCTCGGCCTTTTGCTCCTGAAAAATACAAATCCAGAGTGATGGAGGAAAACTGAAGCAAGTGCTAATTAATTGTAGATCCGTGGAAAAGGGGCCACTGTCAGATCATTTTTAAAGTAGCTCACCGCGGTCAGGAAGGACACTGCTGATGGAGCGTAGTGGTAATATCCTGATTGCTGGTCTTTAGCTGGAGCAGCTGCAGAGCGGACATACAGGGGAGCTGGGGCTTTAGCTGGGGCAGCTGGAAGCACCAAGGGCTGGTAGGGGCTCTTGCCCTGGACTAAAGCCATGTACAGGCAGTGTGGGTCCTTGGTGGGGTTGCAGGTTTTTACTGGTGCTGCTTTGGGGAGCTCTACTTTAGGTTTGGGCCTGGCTGTGTAAGACGCTACACAGTTGGGATCATCAGAATCTGCGCAGGACTTGTAAATGTCTCCCAGGTGGTTCAGGTAGGCCTTATAGGAGCGCTGGGCCTCGGCTCGGTTCTTGTTCTGGAGGTATGCCAGGTAGATGCGATCCATCTCCTGAACCTGGAGGTGAGAAAGGGTCTACTGGTGAGCTCGTTCTTCACGTAGAGATCCGACTCCACTATTAGAGCTTCAGGGAAGCTTTACCGGACCTTCACGGTAAGCGAGTGTCTCCATTTCACCGGGCCGTTACGGCTCCAGCCGAGTACCTGAGCTGGAGTATGTACTCAGAAATGACCTGGTAGAGTTGCTGGGTCGAACTTTAACTCGTGCTGATTGGTCGTAACTCAGCAGGAAACGACATAGGCGGGCGTCGCCAGAAAACCAGCATTTGTAAATTTGATTAAGTTGCTGATGAAGCTGAATGGAAGGAAAAAAATGCAGGATTCACGCCGCTTTACACAGTTTCTAACCTCCCAACACCGAAACCCCCCGCAACGCCATAGTTCACTGGGCTTGCGGTCTCCTACCGTGAAAAACAACGATTCTGCTGGCCTGTGAGACTCACTACTGAAGCAATCACGGTACCGACGCTAGCAAAGTCCCGAAAGGGACCATTTGCATAGCATAGCATAGCATAGTTTATTTATATAGCACATTTAAAATGCAGCATGGGAGCTGCCCAAAGTGCTGCGCAGGCTAAAACAAAACACACCCATTACAAGGAGCTAAAACAAAGGATAAAAATCTCAATTAAAAGCAGAGAAAACATGATGAATACTAAGAGCACATTAAAACAATGACACAATAAAACACTAAAACGAGCCACTGTCTAAAAACAAAGTGTAAAAGTGGGTCTTTAAACGAGATTTAAAAACCGCCAGAGATGGAGCCTGCCGAACTCCAATGGGCAATGAGTTCCATAGCTTTGGGGCAGCATGGACAAATGCTCGATCCCCCCGCGATTTGAGTCTCATCCGCGGCGTGTGCAGCAGCAAAAGGTCAGCCGACCTCAACGAGCGGGTGGGCACATATGGAGTGAGAAGGGCAGAGAGGTAGGAAGGTGCCAGGTCATTGAGTGCTTTAAATTTGCACAGGAACACAACGTCTGAGAGGACCGAGCCAGCTCTTTCTTCCACAGAAATCTCCAGAACTCCTACAGAGGAAACACCTGGTGATGTGTTTATACACAGAAACCTTTACACTGATGCCATTTTTGCCTCAGGTGAGTTTTATATCGATGTTTTTGGTTATTTACCCCGAAGACCGGGTCAGTTGTGGTCCACTCATGTAGAACTCTTTATTGCAAAGCAGAATCATAAGCAGTGACAGCAGCCATTTGATGCACTTATTTGCAATAATAACAAATCTTTGTGCGTGCATGCACGTGTGTGTGTGTGTGTGTGTACTCACTGCCTCCTGGTTGCTGTTGTCGGTAAAGTACTTGTACCAGGCCCAGAAGTCAGAGTGCTGTTTGTACCAGCTGATGTTCCTGCGGTTTCGGATCAGCTTCCTGTGTGATGCTGCAGTAGCCGCCTTCTCCTGGATACTCTCACCGACTGAGGACAGGACAAGGACACAAATTTTCCTGTGAATTTTTAAACTAGTATAACAAAGCACAAAAGGAGTGAAATCAGCTTTAATTCGAGTTTAACCCTCCCACTGTCCTAATGGGGGTGACCCCGCGAGGAAAGCTGACCAATGAGCAGGGTTGACGGTTTATCCCTTGGGTCCACGTGGCAGGGGTGAGGAGTGAGCACCACCTCACCCCTGCCACGTGGACCTCAAGGGAAAAACCATCAACCCTGCCCAATGGTCAGCTTTCCTCGCGGGGTCACCCCCATTAGGACAGTGGGAGGGTTAAAGGACAATAAAAACGTTGTTTACCATCTCTTTTGGATTTCTTTGCGACTGGACCAGCGGATAAGAAGACTGTAAACACAGAAAAGTAAAAACTTGGTGAAAAAGTTACTGAATTGAACTTTGTTTGTTTTCCTATTCATAAATTTTAATTTGCCTTTAATGCAATGGTAATGTGACATTAAGCCTCAAACACTCGGAGGCTCATATCATTCATAAAATAGGGTGGGGGTAAATGGCTGTGCCTGAAGCGCTGCATCGGCAGCTCTTTGTAGATTTTATAGGGACGCCTGTAACGTCAAACCTCCCGCTGCATTTCCAAATAGCTGTGTGTGCACTTGTGTGTGTCTCTTTCCGCAGATGTTTAGGGCTCCGTTTGACCCCCATACAGCTGAGGAAACAGCAGATTCAGCTTTGCTCCTGGTTTCTTTCATCTCCCCGGGGGAAAGGTGTTAATCCGTTGCAGACGAAGGGGAGGAGGAGGAGGAGGGGAAGATTTGGGGTTAGAAAGTGGTAAAATATCAATCTTCTGATTAGAGAGGAAGAGTCTGAACTGGGGTAAACATGAGGAGGAGGCTGTAGAAGAGGTGGCAGTGGGTATGAAAGTAAACATGAAAGCTGAATTGAGGGTAGAGGTGAAGGTGACCAGAGGTGGAGGAGGGTGGGTTAAGTGATGCCGTCTGTGTGCATCCGCTGTATTGTTTTTAACGAGCTTGTAAAACAGCGGCTGGCACATCTGGAAACAGCTGGGCTTTAAGACGGCAGAACAGGAGGTGATGCTGACAGGTACTAATTTTTTTACTGGACCAGAAATGATGAAAGGCACCCTCTTCCTTTCCCCTTGCTGCGTTTACTGAAACCTTTAAAGGCTGATTTTTTTTTTTTTCAAAAGAAAACACAAGATGCAAGCTGAGGCTCTGCCCGCGTTGTAAACGTGTCAATCATGTCCAGAGCAAACTGGAAACAGGTGGCAGCGATGCAACACGTCTTCACGCCGAAACGTCACTGATGATATATGAACTTCAGATGAAGCCGTGTGATGGACGAGCTGGAGGTCGACCCGGCTCAGCTTCAGCAACCCTGAGATGTTCTCCTTAGGAACACGAATGACCTGCTGCTGAATTGTTAAACTAAATCTTCTTATGTTTATAAATGATTGAGTTATAGTTGTTTTGGGTCACATCTAAAAAATGACCCCAAGACCCCAGATTAAAGTAACACTAGTTTTTAAACTTTAATCTAGAGCTTAAACATTAATCTCAGTGATTGTTGGATTTCAAACTTGACTAGTTTCATTTCTGACAACACTCTGCAGTCCTCTGATGACCAAAACCCACACTTGATAATTTTGTGGAGCGGGTAGGTGTCCTAGGGGGCGCTCTTTACCCGCTTTATGGTCGTTAGCTGTAATGCTAGTGGTTAGCATTTTCAGTTTGCTGATCATCAATTAAAAGCACATTAAGAGCTTGTGGTGGCATCATGGTGGAGCCTGGAAGCTAAAGTGAGGGAGTAAAGCCTTTGGAGGTAACCCAAAGAGCTAAAACCAGAGTGAGCATCAGCACGGCCTACGCTAGTTTGTGGGAGCTGATGGAGGCTACAAAAATCCCAGACTGATGGTGACCTGGCCTTGTTGTTACTGGACTTGTAGGTAATAAAGCATTTTTGTTCAACAGGGTGGAACTTTTTACTTGGTTGTTCATTTTAGTATTAGTTGGCTTATGGTAGTGCTAGCTCATTGTTAGCGCTAGCTACAGCAGGCTGCGGCACCTTTGTTTACGAAAGTTTTAATTCTACTAGCAACCAGTAAAGCAGAGAAGCAGGAAACTGCTCTGTGTTACTTTAAAGCTCAAAATCTGTCAAATGGACCAACCTAAACCCATTTTTTATGTTCGCTAATGTTTTGTTATCGTAAACGTGGCCAACTTCAAAAGTAACCCAGTGGTGAACGAGCATCACATGGAGACTTACTAGTTTCAGTAAAATCCACCCACCGAGATGTTTGCATCGTCATTCAGCCTTTCACCCGCAGACGAAAAAGGGTCAAATACGTTTGATTCCATTTTCTTTTATGAACTTGTTGACTTGTTCTTTATTTACAGTTTGAATGAGTGAAACCTGAGATTTCTGACCGGTAACTGATGACTTTCCACCTGAACCTGCAGCATCCAGCTGCTTTTTAGTCTCACTAACTGGTGCAAATGAAACGGTCTCCAAAGATTTGCTCCAAAATCCATTTTATGAAGCTGCAGTTTGATGAATCAAGCTGATTATTTGCCAATGTGAGATTTTTGCATCATAAGTAAATTTAAAACGGCAAATGATCTTAACTATCATATTAGCTTCAATGTTATGCACAGCTTCGTTTTTCTGGCCCTTCTGCGTCTAAAACGTCTTTGGACCAAACAAAACAACACATTTGAAAGTCTGGCCCACCCTCAACCCTCAGGCTGTTTTTGCTACTTTCATTTTATTGTCTAAAAATCAATTTATAGCAAAAAATAAATAAATAAAATCAGCTCATATAATAATAAAAATAATCATCGGTCTTTGGCTGACATTTAAATGAAACCTGATGAGCTCAGTTTATTCTAAACATTTAACCTCAGCCATTTGTCTGCGTTTTACACATGAAGTCATTGCATTACAGCGTTTTTATGATGCGTGTTCTCACCAGGCAGCAGCACCATGACCAGCAGAACGCTGGTTAACACGCCATAGGAGCCCCTCCGTTCAGCCATCACTGGACTTAAATACTCCTGTTGAAACCAAACCGAGGATCAAAACAGGGATTTTTACTCTAAATTATGTTTTTTTTATGTTAAATTGAAAAACAGTCTTCTTTGTCTACGTTCTTTTACTCGTCCAACAACCAAGGTGGTAAAAATGATATTCTAATCTGCTATAAAGCTGTATTTCAATAGAAAGTCCTGGAAGATTTCCCTTTGATTTCCAGACCCTGGAAACCACCTAAAGCTACTGAGTATACACAGACTTCTCAGGTGTCTTACCTGTGATTATTTGATACTTCTGCGTCCGTCTGCAGGTACAGATCTGGACTTGGAGGGAAGCTGCCGGGCCTAAAGAGTCCAGGTGTTCAGAAGGATTTGGCTTAAATCAGGTCTTCTTCCCCCGCAGCCTTCATTAAAGACTGCCTGGACTAAAATCACTCAGGGTTTTAAACCAGGCCCATCACCTCTGCTGCACACCGATGCACACATGGACCACCTGAGGGGGATCGAGGGGTTACTTCAGCCTGATTGGACCAAAGTTTTGGCCAATCAGGAGTCTCAGATTCATGATAATTAAAGACAGGAGAAAAGAAGGCGGGAGGGACTGGAAAAGTGATGCAGGCATGGAAAATTAGGGATTTTTTTTTTACCCTTTTCATCAGCTTTTTGGCAAACTTTATTATTTTAGAATACATTACAAAAATAAAAACTCTGGACAGCAAGTCCAGAACAACCAAAGACAAAGAGGAGAGATGTGATGGAACAAGATGAAATTATGACGACGAGGTGCCACATCAGCACTTCTCAGAGCTCACGGGAGGCAAACCGCTGCAGACGCACAGCGAACAGGCACAGCTGCTCCACACATGAGGAATTTAATAATCTACCGTTTCCTCCTGTGTGCTCAGGCTCGCCGTCCTGGTGAGGAACACACAGACAAGCTGTGGACCAACTCACAGCTGAGACTCGTGATGCAACATCACCTAATCCGATGTAATCCACTTAAAGCCTTCAGAGGAGTTAGGAGTTTTGGGTCTGAGCCAGAATATCAACGGTTTGATCACAATTTCTACTCAAGTTGTTTATATTTCTGTGGTTTCATGTGAAATTAAACTTGTGTTCCTCAAGGTTCAGTTTTGGGCCCGCTTTTGTTCTCACTGTATATGTTGCCCCTTGGCGCCATCTTTCATAAGCATGGCATCTCATACCACTTCTTTGCAGATGACGTGCAGATATGTGTCCCACTACATTCTCGAAGGCCATTGTTTGATAAATTACTGAATTGTCTAAAAGACGTTAAAAACTGGCTACAATTGAACCTTCTCACTTTAAATGACGTAAAAAACAAACTGAAAGCGTCGTTTTTGGGGACCCTGGGCTGTTGCACGGGGTAAACAGTGCATTTGGCCCTTTAGAATCATTTTGCTTGTCTCAGGTAAGAAATCTGGGTTTTTTCATTGATGGTCATTTTAAGCTTGATCAAGATAAGCTCTGTGGTCCAGAGTGTGTTCTTTCATTTGTGTGTTCTTAGTAAAGTCAAGCCCTATTTACCAATTAAAGACTTTGAAAAGGTCATACACCTACTAATCATGTCGAGACTCGACTACTGCACCTCTCTATCATGGACCGGAGCAGTCGTCAGTTCACCGCTTGCAGGTGGCTCAGAATGCAGCAGCTCGCTTGCTGACAGGTAGGAGGCGCAGGGATCACATAACACCAGTCTTACAAGCTCTTCACTGGCTCCCGATCACTTACAGGATTCAATTTAAAATGCTACTGCTCTGTTTTAAGGCACAATGCAATTTGGCCCCTCCTTACCTGTCGGAACTCTTAAACACTCATGTCCCCAAACGAAACCTCCGATCATCCTCTCTACATCTATTATCTATTCCCAAGTCTAGGCTGAAGTCCAGAGGCGACAGAGCCTTTTCTGTGGCCGCTCCCAAGCTCTGGAACAGCCTTCCCCTACAGATTAGGTCTGCTAGCAGCCTTTCTGCCCTTAAATCTCTTTTAAAGACCCACCTTTTTACCCTTGCTTCTAACTGATTTTATCGTTAATTTATTCTATCTAGGGTCTACTGGATGTTTCTCACGTGTTTCATCATTTTATTTACTGCTTGTCTGTGTACAGCACTTTGTGCAGTCTCTTGATTGTTGGAAATGGGCTGTATAAATAACCGTGTCACTGACATGTTTTTAGGCAGAATGAGTTTTTTTAGAGTTTATGTGGTTATACCATTTTTTACTTTGTCATTTGAGTTTTGATTTTTCTGTAGTTGTAGTAATAACCATCATCATCATATTAATAATAATAATAATAATAATTATTATAAAAACAAACACTTTCTGTCAGGTATCTTTCAGAATTCCGGTAAATTAACTTTCATAAAAATTGTTGGTTTTCCAAATGTAATAACAAACTAGAGAAAACTCATAAAAATGGTCTGGTAGCTGTACTTTACACACACTTGACCCTGACCCTGTATAAAAAGGCTGTAATCATGTTTTAGGTGTTACCCTGTTCGTCTTTGACCTTTGACCCTGCCCCAGGTGGCCACAGGAGGAACTGCACGTTTTCCTTGCAGATTTGCTCCTGAAACAAAATCTTGAATCTGAGGATTAAAGTCGGTGGGTTTTGCTCGGACTGTTGCTGCACTGACAAAATCTGACTAAAGAAGAAAATTAAAGTTTAAAAAGACCTCTTTTGTCCATCCGGGGTCACTTTGAACATCCCCGGGTCCTTCTAGATAAACCCTAGTTGGGCTCCATCAGGGTTATTCCTCATCTCCGATCCCATTTTTGATGTTTACGGACGAGATCTTAAGGCGTAGTCATGGAAACAGATGCTTCATCTAATTTGGGGGAAGGCGGAGCCTTACAGCTTTGTCCTCATCGACAGAAGACAGCTGAGGTGGTTCAATCATCTAAGTGGGATGCTTACGTCGGCGCTTTAGACACTGAGGGGGATCGATTATTCCCTCCGTTCTGGGAATGTCTTGGGACTCTCCAGGTGAAGCTGGAGAAAGAAACATCTGGGTTTCCTTTCTGGACCCGCCTCCGTGATCCAACAAAACTAGTTTTACTTTTAGACTAAATTAAAGTCAAAGGTCTAGATAACTTAAATCTGAGGACCTAAAGTAGGTCGAAGTAGACTGAAAGAACATCTAAAAGTCCTTAAATGTGTATTATTTTGCTTATCCAGCTTAAATTACATTTATAGCTTAAATAGAAGTAAATAGAAACCCTGAAAAAGGCTGGACGAGCCTTCAGGCGTTCACTGTGCTTCTGATTTAAAGTTTTGATTTGTTTTTAACATAAAGTCTGTAAATAAATGGATTACAAATGTTAATATTAGCGCCTGAAAGCCAACATCAGAGCTGAGCCTCTGAAGTTTTTGGGAGTAAATAACCAAAATCATTAAACGACAACATAATTCTCTCATTTTGTCACGTTTGAAGCTCTGAAGCTGCAACAATCAGCACCCCGGTTTTGTGGGGAGAGCTACAGCCCACGGTGAAGTAGTTTGATTTAAAAACACTTTCTTGTGTTTAATCTTTAAAAGTTGCAGCTTAATCCTCTAGTGGAAACAGTCAGTCTCTAGGAAATTTGATTTGTTTTGACAGAAAAACTCATTTCAGAGAAGACAAAACAAAAAAGAGAAATCCATAAAAAACCTAATCAGTCTTCTCCATTTTCTGTTTTCTCTGCAGAAAAACCAGCAGCTCCGCACGTCCCATCGTGCCCGGGCTGAATATTTACGGGCCGTGTTAGTGCTGAATCTCGTGTGTAATTATGTTTGCTAACAGATGTTTCCCCGAGCCCACAAACCTGCAATCCAGGCAGATTCAAACACGACGACCCCAAAAGCACACTCGTAATTTTCTCCAAAGCTGGAATGTAGGAGACGCTCAGAATCCACAACACCTGGTTCGGATGGTTTTTTGTGTCAAAGCATGACGGCTTCGTTTCAATACAGAACTGAATCGCTTTCAGGAGGGAGGCTGTGCAAGAAAAGCAGTAATTATAGGGAGAAGAGGCCCGTGTTCATTATTTATTATATGTACACATTCAGAGAATCCCACGAGTGTTCGGATGCTGCGATCACTGCAGGTCATCGTCGTCGAAGAGATCCTCAAAGTCTGCGTGGGAAAGCAGAAACGTGGGAGGAGGACAAAGACAAGGGGAGAACAACAAAATCACAATTATTCCAGATGTTCTTCCCCCAGAAGAGTCCAATATTCTCAGCTACTGAATAAATAAAACCATAAGATGCTCAGTTATGAGCTAAATTTTCACTTTTGTTTGCACTTTAAATGCAGCAGACTTTAAAAAGCTACTAGTGTGTCACAAACGTACATTTATGTGGTGAAATTAGCTTAAAATGTAGGAAAAGTTTGACCTTGTGTCACAAAGATGATGAAAGCATTAAAACGTATTTTCTTAAGGCCTCAAGAAAAAACTGCACTATGATTTGGTTCAAAACTCAAGGATCTCTCATGACATTAACAGCAAAAGGAGTTTTCCACCTCGATCGGAGACTGTAGCGCTCCTCTTCTGGGATTACCTCCAGGTCAGTAAAGTCTGAGGACTTTCTGGATGGGGTAACCATAGCTGGACCCAATTAGAGCATCACAACATTTAAGAGACTAAAGCCTGATTCATGCTTCTCCGTCAGCTCCGCAAGGGACAGACACGCACGGATTGACGGAAGCGTTTTGCTCTCGTACTTCTCCGTCTCCTGGGGAGTGTTGCATAGCAATTCCCCGGCAGGACAGCAGAGGGCGTAGCGCTGTTCTGTGGTATCCTGTCATGTATCGGTCCAAGATCGTGTGTTTATATTGTGTTTTTTGTATATAAGAGACTTTTTAACACAGACAAATTTGTCTCTCATTCTCCTCCACCTCTTCATGTGCTCACCATGTCTAAACCCACATTTCCTGTCTTTTCCCTCCACAAATAAAACGCTTGCTGCGCATCTTTTCACTCCTCCAGTCACGGGGAATTAACGTTCATATTTTTAGAGTTTTTTCACGAGGTATTCTTCAAGCTTCTCCGTGTCTGCCGCTAGTTATCCTCGGCTCTCTTTATGTTTTTGAGGGCGCAATGGCGGCGGTGTAGACGACAGCGGCGTCCTGACCAATCACAAGCTTGCTTTCTCCGTCTCGACGGACGGATGTTTAGAAAAGAGAGCTGGAATCCGTCCGTCCTTGCGGCGCTCTCCAGCAGGCCCGCAAGGACGTTGCGTGTCTCCGCACTGACGCAGACGGAGAAGCATGAATCAGGCTTAAAACTAAACACTGGGGTTTGCTGGGCGAGGGGAGACAAGTGTAAACTTTGCAAGGTGTTGAGGAATTTCCCCAAAACGCCAGGAAGAGCCCTCACTACTGAAGAGTAGGGGTTGTGTCAACTTCACTCCTCTGTAGTGACTTTTTATGCCTTTTATAGACTAGTCGCTGTCACGCGATAATGACTGACAGTCCTCGGAAAACACAGCAGGTGACGAGCCCCTGCGCGTGGGGACTAGCCTAGGGTTGTCACGGTGTGAAAATTTAACCTCACGGTTATTGTGACCAAAATGACCACGGTTTTCAGTTTTATCGCGGTATTTTTTTAAACGTGCTACATTTTCACACAATTAAATAAACCCTGTATGTCAGGAAATATTGTCCTAAGTTTGTGTCTAAATTTTGCCTAAAATGTGTTATTTTGTAATTATGTTGTTTATTTGTTTACATTTTTCCCCTTTAGTCTTTAAAATACCAATATTTGCCCATAAATTCTTATTTTTTGTCTGTTTGATGTCATCATTTAAAAATATTAGATCAGATGATACTCAGTACTCAAGTAGCCTTCTAATCAGATACTTTTTTACCCTTACTTGAGTAATAAACCCTATCAGGAAAATATTGTCCTCGGTTTGTGTCCTTCCAGTGAGCTTTGCAGATGTGGGAAAATGTCATCAGGCAGTAATCATTGTTAAATTCATAATTATTCTCTGAGAGAGACCAACTCTTATCTGCCTCTGGGAGCCCCGTAATGCATAGCGTCATTTCAACATGGGGGTGTCCGCGACACGGTTTATATGCAGGTAGCGGCGCTGCGGCTGCTTTATATAGCGACTCGTTGCATTTTCCCTCAACCCAAATCCTCGGATCACGCATTTTAGCTAAAACGCTAACGTTAGCTTGCCTTGCGTTGACTGTAGAGTTGTGGGTGATGGTCACGCAGATGTGTCATGAGATCTGAAGTGTTGCTGCCTTTCACAGACACTTTTTCTGCTCGTGCTGCAAACAGGATAGCCGTCTTCTATCAACTGTCCCTCGGCATTCTTCAAATATCCAAAACATGCCCGTACTTCCCACTTTGTCTTCTTTGAGGGATAAAATATGTCCTCCTGAGCGCTGCCATCTCCTTCTTTGGCCATTATTTCAGCTTTAGCTTCAAGAAAGTTTTGGTTGTAAACAACAAAGTGCGCATGTGCCGCCGGCAACTTCAGCAGATGATACGGTGGCTGGTAAGGGTCACGGCGCCTACACCGCAGCCACGGTAATCCACCGGGATAATATAGTTTTTTATAAAACAAGACGGTTATTATTATTGTCAACTTTTTTACCAGGGTTTACCGCTACACCGGTTACCGTGACAACCCTAGTGGGGAGGCGACGCGCTGTGCCAGAGCGTCGGTATCTGACGCCTGCGGTAAAACGGACCTTTGACCGAATTGTGACCCTCTTGCAATTGAACCTTCCCCTCACCCCCATCCTAACCTTAACCAGATGAGGTCATTCTGACAAAACTTTTAGAAAAAGGACACGGAGGAAAAAACAGAGCTCACATTTTAACAGCGGCCTTTGGTGGAGCCGTGGCTGCTGCCTCCTGTGCGGAGTTATATGTGAAAGCAGAGCTGGAGCCAGGAGGGGTGGAGTGAAGAGCTTCACTTCGAAAAAGTTTCACCGCAATTTTAGTATTTCAGACAAACCTTTGAATAGCTGCCAGCTCAAACATGTCCAGACAAGACGACGCTCATCTCCGCCAGGTCCGTGACCAATGAGACAGATTTGATCAGATACGCATCAGATTTAGTTCCACATATGAAAGTGACCTGGGTCAAACTTGTGCTCTTCAGACTTTCATTAAATAATCAGATATAGGTCACCTGCAGACACAAGAGTCAGATCTGATGCGCTTTGCCTGCAATGGGAACGTAGAATGTGATTCAGCCCAACAGATGCTGAAAAACAGCTCATCCTGTAAAACGTCAGCTTGAGTTTAGCTAAAACTCGCTGAAACTCTGGTTTTACAGCGTTGAGGTGACTTTATATTTAAAGGTCAAGTCAAACCATGTCTGAGTGATCGTAAACACACACTCCTCCCTGGACTGGTTTTTCTCCCCATGGTAGCCCTGTTCAGGGTATATTTCTTTATAGGCTGCTGGTTTCCTTGGACAGAACATCTTTTTAGAAACTGGTGTTTATAGCTACTGAATCTGGACCAAACTGATGACACACTTCTGGACTTGTTTTGATTTGAACTGGAGCTTTATAACCGCAATGAACTACCATGATTAACCCTCCCACTGTCTTTATGGGTGACCCCGCGAGGAAAGTTGACCACTGAGCAGGATTGATGGTTTATCCCTTGAGGTCCACGTGGCAGGGGTGAGGAGTGAGCACCACCTCATCCCTGCCACGTGGACCTCAAGGGATAAACCATCAATCCTGCTCAATGGTCAGCTTTCCTCGCGGGGTCACACCCATTAGGACAGTGGGAGGGTTAAGTGTTGATCTCATGTTAAAATACCAGAAGTAAGACCTTTGTACAAAATTAAACCAAGAAAAGTGACAAATGCTGAATAAAGAATAATCAACTGCACACCAGTGCTTCTGCTGGTCATAAACAGCTGACGTGTTGATGGCATTTTGAGCCAGTCATCGCTGGTTTAGCAAAGACGAGAAGTGACGGGCAAGAAGATTAAGCTAGCAGGATGCAATTAACGCTAATTCTGTAACAGCTACGATCTCTCTCTCTCTCTCTCTCGTTTATGGGTCCATCAGACTCTTTGCTCTGTTACAGCAGTGGAGGACTGCGAGATCACTGTATTTGTGATTTCTCTGGGGAATCAGCTGATTGCAGCACACAGCTGTTCATCAAAGGTGTCAGATACGTGTGAATAGCTCATCTCATTTTCAGGTTGTAGATTGAGAAGATATACATCAGGCTGCAGTAAAAACCAGTAACGCTTCTTGACCGACTTCTGGTTACATCACAGTTATTAAGTATGGTTTCATGTCATCAATTGAGCATTTTATTGAAATATTTTTAGCTTGTGGGACCCTTTTGGTAGGCTGAGGAGCTTTAACAGCCCTGGTGATCTGCAGGACGTATGCAGGGGTTTATAAGCAGCAGACTGGCGAGGCATCCTGCTGAGTTTCAGTCTGAAAGCAGCTATAAACTCACTTTACCATCCTCATCTACTCTCATTTCACCCCCCTCCACCTTCCTCTTTTTAACAATCAGCTATTTTCTTTCTAGGTCATGTGCCACTCAGCCAAACTTGTTAAGCCTGGAGTGAGCGCTGTGAGAGAGAAGAGATTAGCTTGTTTTTGGGGGGGGGGTGGGTTTGGGCACCCTCCACATCTGTGTTGCGTTTAATTTAGCTGTTCAGAGAGAAACAACAGGGTTTCGTGGGGTTAATGTGAAGAGAAAATGCAGTTAAGGGATGAAATGAGATCACGTGTTAAGACGTTTGTCTCCCTGAAGTTTGTCTGTGTTTATGTTTATACCTTAGAGCATCTATTAAAATAAGCCTGGAACATCTTCTGTTTAGGCCCAGTTAATTTTCTCCGATTAAACCTTTTAATGATTAGTTTTTTTTTACAGGTTAGCTATTTTAGTTGCACTTAATAATGGGTTTTCCCAAGTTTCTGTCAAAACTTTGATAATTTGATCTCTTAAAAAATCGTTCACACTTAACATCACACCTCTTAGGCTACTTCTCCACCAGATGTATTATTTAATATTTTTTATTCGAGCTTACAGGAAATGCAGGAATGTTTTTGAACTGTTTCTGAAAATGCATTTGAGGAGCAGCGTTTGTTGCTAAACAAACTCATAATCAGGTAGAAATGCCTACATTTGGCTCTTACCGTTAAAAAAATCAGAGTGCACTGCTTTCTCGTTGGCTGCCAGATCCATCAGCAAGCCGCTGCTGCCCCCTGCCTGTGAACACGCAGCAGTACAAGTCATTTATCATCAAAGCACAGAACTCATATCTCACTGCTTCAGCTGATAAAAATACGGAATTGTGTATTTAGGATCAGATATTAGCAGCTCTTTCAGTTATTTAATGAATAAAAACTACTTTAAGAACATATTTAATAAGACAGCCTTAAGACGCTAATGATCATTCTCTAGGGCTTTAGACTAAAGCAGGAATATTTTATAAATTATTTAAGAACAAGAGCATTTAAGATGTTATTAAAAGACTTATCCCACACGTGCCTTTAAGTAGTACGTTTAAATCTGATAATAGACCATAAATTATACTATCCGTTTAAAAATAATTATATCATTCACAAAGCATTAGCGATAGCGTTTGTATGCTCGATAATGTTAGCATGCTATTATGCTAAGTTTTTCCAGCCGTGTTTTTAAACCGACCTCGTCTAAATCCACATACGGTCCCGCTCCTTCAGGAAACATCTCGTCCACTGCAGGTTTCATCTGGACACAAAACTGTTCTTTAAGTCAATCTTTCAGTTTGCTGTTAGCGAAGCTAACCCCTCGGCTAGCAAACAAAACAGCTGTGTAACAGTAACTTGTGACCGACTCTGACTACTAGCTTAGCGACAAATGGCCCGCTTGACAACAAAAGCGGAAAAAGAAGAAAAATATAAATAAACAAACAAATAAGTAATTATAATATTAAATATTATTATTATTTTGTGTTTTAATGAAAGGTCATATTATTATTATTATTATTATTATTATTATTATTATTATTATTATTATTATGAAATAAACAAATTTATCTTACTTTTCTGGTAAACAGGAGTAAATAAAGGAGCTAAAGCAGGAACTATCTTCAGCTTTTTAACAGCATTACAATTGTGTCAGATCATCTGCCTTCTGGTGACAAGACGGCAAAATGATGTCCACTGCAGACTAATAAATTATTAATAATATAAAATAAATGTATTTAGCTTTAAATTTTTACTAGCGGAAGTTAGCAATTAATAATCAAACATGTCAGATAGTAGTCATTGTGATAGGGCCAATAAATGCCCAACTACATCTAATAAACACACACACACACACACACACACACACACACACACACACACACACACACACACACACCCACAGACATACAGATAACTATTTTTTAAAAGGTATATTATTTTTTAAACTAGAAAATAAGTAATGAGCTTTGATTAAAATAAACTTCCATTTACTTGATTTATTTTAGTAATTTAACTTGATTTATGGCAACATACTACATCTAAAAGGAAATATACTTACAGTCACCAGGTTGGAATCAGAGCGTCACAAAACAAACTGTGAAAAACGTAAATGTTTACTTGGATAATAGAAATTGTGATATTGTTTAAAAAATGCAGAAGAAATTATGCAGAAAAGCTTTATTTATTATATAAATTTTTCTATTTCCCTGTTCTGTGGATCCCACATTTTTTACAACCTGAACTGAGGTTAGTCTAAATTTTACAGATTGAAAACATTGCAAGCATTCTATCAAAGAGAACTAAATAAACACATAAAAAAGAGACTTATTTAATCATCAGAAAAAATGCTATCACATTTATTAAAGAGATTTCTTTGAGAAAATCCTGCTCCTATGATATCTCAGAACAAGTAAAGTGGATGTGGAAAATAGATGGATGGGTTTCTTACGCATTAAGGCAGTAAACTAGTTTATTTCTTGCATATTATTTTAATATATTCTAAAATCCTACAGCAGATCTATGCAAACATTTCCCTAAACAGCCACAGACAAAAGCAGCTCAAAAATAAATGCCACTCTGCGTTTCATTGAAGTCGTGTCCATGCCGGCCGCCTCCCAGCTCAGTGTTCATGCCCCTGATTGGACTCGTATCCCAGAGTGTTTCCGAGGTGCTGGTGGGCGTAAAAGGCCCTAGCCATCTCGTTGATGTGGTTGTAGGCTCCGATAGACCTGAAGTATTCAACGTAATTCCAGAAGTCAGAGGTGGAGTAGGGCCAGTAGGGAACAGCTGGAGGTTCATCGGAGGGCACTGGATTTGAAGGGCAAGGTAGCTTTATTTGTAAAGCACATTTCAAACACAAAGGCAATTCAAAGTGCTTCACAAAAGCAAAAACAGAAAAAAGAAATGTAGATATTTCAGATTCAAACAGATAAAAAGCATATTCAAAAGTGAGCAGTTACAGTGCAGAAGATGCAGCATAAGAAACAATCGTTCAAAGGCTGATGAACACATGAAGGTTTTTGAATTAAAAGTTGCTAGAGGTGGGGAATGTTTGAGGTCACGAGGAAGCTGATTCCAACTGTGAGCAGCATCGTAGCTAAAAGATGAGTCGAAGAGCAAAATTAATCTATAACAAAATCTGGTTTTAGAGAGCCAATCAAAACATGTCAGCTCTTTTATGGTTTTTCTCAGTTGCTTTGGTGCATTTCTCACAACAGAATTAAACTTTGCACAACAGTTAGTTCAACCTCCACAACATGTAGTCGTTTTGGCACAACCTTTGGACATGAAGCAGTTGAGTAAGTACAAATGTCTAAAGAATGGCCACTTTTGACTTGCTATTCATCACTATCTCCTTGCTTTTATCATGAATGTCACAATTATTGATACTTGTATGGGCTGAATAGTCATTGTCCTTACAACTAATAGTCTTCATTTCATTGCTCTCAAAATTGTTGAACATCTTGTCAAACAATTTGTACACCCATTTTGAAAACCCTATTTTTAAGGAGTTTCCATGGAAATCGCCATAAATTACTTTTCTCAGGTGAACCTTATCTCACACTAATTAACGTTGGTGTGTGTCCTGGTGACAATCGGACAATGTATGTAGTGGTTTGGGATAATGTTAGCTTCCATCACTCTGCTGTAGTCAGGCAGTGGTTTGCAGCACACCACAGGAAGCTTATGGAGTTTCTTCCTCCTTACACTCCATTCCTAAATCCAGTTGAGGAGTTTTTCTCTTCCTGGAGGTGGAAGGTATGTGACAGGCATCCACATACCCACATGGCCATGCTAGCTGCTATGGATGCAGCTTGTGATGACATCACAGCAGAGTCTTGCAGAGGGTGGATTCGACACTGCAGGAGATACTTTCCCCGATAGCATCGACAGAGCTGACATTCCCTGTGATGTCGATGAAAACGTGGGCAGACAGACGGGAGTGTCTAGATATCAGTGATTGATATGCAGCAGTGTCTGTTCAGTTTTTTTTTGTTTCATAACTACTGCAGTAAGGTTTACTGTCTAAGTGAGTTTATGTTTGCTGTAAAATGTTTGTTTTACTGTATTTCCCCAGTTGCACAATGCTGTGAACAGTTTCAATTAAATATTATCAAGAGTGCATTTGAAGTGTCATGATTTTCCTTTACAATTGATGGTTTTCAACACGCCATGCATGCTGTCCAGACTCGACATGTCATTGGGAAGCACCTACAAAGAAATCCGTCACAATGAGAACATGTTCAAACCATTTGATTTTGTGACCAAAGGTGCCGGTGGAATGACTTGTAATTGTGACAGCCCTGACGCTGACTAGTGAACTAGACCAAATTCTTGCTTTGCAAAGTTTGGTCTAGGCATGCTCCATTGGAACCTCCGCAGCTCCTACCAGGACTCTGGCTGGCCAATCACAGCTCTCTAGAGGGGTTTCAAACACATAAAGAGCTGTGATTGGTCCATAATGGTGGGCCAATCATAGTGCTTTATCTGCTTAGTGAACAAATCACAGAGCTTTATCCGCTTTGTGGGCCAATCAGGGCACTCTATATGCCTGGTGGGTGGGATGATGCAACAGAGTGAAACAAGAGTACGTCACATTCTTTGTCCAGTGGAACGCGGAGATCATTTGAAAGACAACGGTAGAACCCGCCCCACAACCGAGAGCCGTCAATGGAGCATGGCCAGACTAAATAATACATTTATTTAGTCTGGCTTGCCAGGCTAATAAGTACTTGCTTTTGATGAATATATTATCTGTTTTGATTAAGGGACTTGCTTTTGAAGCATTGACTACTTATTTTGAGCAA